AAAATTATTGTTCTGATTACATTTACTTGTAATTAAAAAATTTTCAATGGTTATTCTATTGAAAATGTTAAAATATTGTGATACTTGATCATTTTTCTTAAGATGTTCTGAAATGTGTTTCGAGTACAATTTAATTTATTATGAAATGTCCTATTTATGCATATAGACGTTCCTACACAGTAGACAGTAATAGATTTGACAGCAAATACTATATTTTATTAATACAATAGCAAGTACAGTGCACACCTGTGTTAGGTGTAAATAAAATATTTTTGACATACNCTTGATAGCTATAAGGGTGTGGGAGTATGGGGCTGAAAGTGGTTTTCTATTTCGAATGTTATGTTAGAATTTGTTCGAATTTAATTCAAACATAAAATTCGAATATTGGTTCGATTATAGAACGATCGTAAACGTTCCAGAAACGTTGAAAATAGTTCGTTTGACTGGACATGAACAGGAGACATTCAGAAATAGAATCAGGACCAGGTCTCTAATTAGTCTGGAAACGTAGGACCTAATTCTTTCATTCTGTGAAAACGGGTAAGATTGGCTATAATGTAATTATCTTAATCTTCACTATCATTACTTTTTGCCCAGCGAAACGAGTCCTTGCAGCTAGATTCTAGATTACTTAGAAAAACAGTCTTTTATATATAAAAAAACAAAAACTATATTACGTACAAATGTACGAACAAATAAAAACCCAGTGAAGCGGGTCCTTGCAGCTAGTAAGATATAAAGTTTGTCATTCAACACCATTTCATAAATAAATATATTCTCAATTTTCCGAAACAGTGTTTGAGAATCATAGAAAATAAATATATTTCAACTCTGATTTTGATGTTATTGAAAATGAATTTTAAATCCCAATTTAAAGATTCTTAATCTAACAAAAAATGGGGCCGCACTGGATTTCAATAAGCCCCAGGCCCTGGAAACCTAGATCCGCCCCTGGGCTCGACAAATCAATGATAGGACTACTGATTCAGAAGTTATTGGTGCTGAGATTGTCTCGTCTCATTAGATGTCATGACACGAATCATTGATGATGTTTCTATTTAATTTAGATTTCAATATTCATGGGAAAAAGATACTACTGTACTGCTGTTTTTTGATGAGTGCCACAGTTGAATTTAAATCAAATTAATTAATGAAATCATGTTAATTGATATTCACATAATATAAATGACATCCAAGAATTCATGTTTAAAGGTGCTTAAGTCAAATTTAATAACAAAAATTTATTATATATAATACATTGATATATAACATATAATATTACATTGCCTTTGTAGACATTTTTATGCATGAAATACAGCTAAAAAAGGTTTAAAAAAGGCTTTATTGTGGTGGTCATTAATTTTATATGGTTTCTTATGGGTAAATTTGTTTCAGTTTTAGAACAACTTAATTTTAGAATGACTTCTAGGAACAAATTATGTTCAAAAACCAAGGTTTGACTGTATTGTAATTGTTAAAATTATATTTTGTTAGCTGTAATAAGAAAGAATATGAAGTATGAAAACACAGAAATGAAGTTAAAAAATAGACTTTTAATTTGTATTTTGAAATATATCTGATATTGTTTCTTTGCAAATTTTCATTAATATTGTAAAATTATGAGTTAATGGAAAAATTTTATGTAAAGTACACTTGGTCTAAAGTTTAATTTTTATATACATAAAATCATAAGAAAAGCCAACTGAAGAGGGACCAGTAGGGTAACAATTGCAACTATTTACACTGTAAAGTAACATATTTATAAAAGAATTTGTACAATTTTATTGTTTAAAGCTAAGACTATATTTTGTTTTTCCTACAATACATGAAGTTATGCCATATTTAGAAGATACAAATTAGAAAACCATAATTATTTTTCTGAAAAAATTAATGAACAAACAACTATATTTCTTCCAGTAATTGACACTTGAGAACCCAGTGATTGACAGATATTTCCCCATTAATTATGCCCTTGAGATGTATTATGGATTCAACCTAGATTTAAAACATCTCTATAGAACATGGAAAGAAAGTTATCTTTTTAAAAATTATTATAAGAATATTGTGCTGTTGATTAGACATTATTACAAATAAGTAAACATTAGCATTTCTAATTCCTATAGATAAAAATTAACTAACACAAACTAGAGAAAACTGTAGGTCTACTTGGGCCTGCTTAATTAATATTATATTCAGAGAAGGAAACATTGAAAATTAATTCTCTATACCCCAGATTTGGTTAAGCTAAAATTTTCATAATGTTTTTGTGATATTTCAGTGGTTCAGAAATTTTTTCTGAAGCACTGAAATATTGTCACAATCAGGCCATACAAATACACAAGTTCCTTGCTACTTTCACAAATTTTACATCAGGTTAATTTTCTATACTAATTATGAGTCCAGCATAATGTTTTTTTTTAGCATTCTTTACAGTTGAAAGCACTGTTAAACTCATTTGTCAACCTGATGACTGGTTTATTCTGAGAAAATCTGATTTTTAGCTTCCATTTCTTCTACAAGATCACGAAAACAGATTTTACTGCTGCTATCATGAAGTGTCATCATTGAATCTGAACTTAAAACATCATTTGGAGTTGGAAGCCTGCACACAACTCCAAATTATTAGCCCCATTTTTTCTTTCAATTGGATTTTTCCCAGAGGATATATACATCAGAGTGGAACATTTAAAGTTCTATTGGATGTGTGACATCCTATTTTTTACTGCAAAGAAAACTTCATCCATTGCAGACTCAGAATATTTGAATTTTAGTTTTTTCAAACCTGATTAAGACTGCATAGGAGACATAATTATCAGTTGGATATAAGAAAATTTGGAATGAAACCAGAAGGAAATATTGTAATAATAAGAAAACCAGTAATAGACAAAGTTTTTCCAGTGTTTGATATCTAAAGTCAAACACTGGTATGATAACAGGAAACTAGTAATTGACACTAAAATAAATAGTTATTTGTAGCTTTAGGTAGTATTTTTTAATAATTTTTCACTATTTAAGTTATGGAAATAAAGTAAAACATTAGTAAAAACACTTAACACCAATTAGATATAAATGGATTTTCTCTGCTTTACTCTTTAACAAAAAATTAAGGTCTAGCTTCACATACAAGCCACAACTAAAATGGCTTCTACCATATCTCTCTAGTGTTCAAAAACTGAACTACGTCAAATCACTTAGTAATACTTAAAAATAACACTAGATTGTATTAGCTGTCCTAAATTAAATTTGTAACATCATTTACTATGAATTCTAGTGGTATTTGTCAATCACTGGGTCTGTGTTAAATACTGGAACCATTACCCTGGGTTAAAAATGCATTTTGTCACAGGTATATACAGTATATCTAAACAAGTACAAACTGATGTATTAATATAACTTAGGCTGTTAATGTGTGATATATCCATTATATGAAAATTATTGTTGTTACTTACAATTACAATTTAATATAATTGAATAAAATTAGTAATAATTTAATGGACTAAAAACAATGTTAAATATGAATAATTCAACTTTTCCAAGAGATCAAATTATAAAAAACATATTGAAAGACAATATTTTTAGGGGAATATCTGCCAAAAAAAGCCCTCATCTTGACATCCATCTATATGAGAAACATATTTGAGATCTGTAAAACATGGTCATTTATACTAGATAGTACCAGGATTGGCAGGATGTTATATTTAGCAATGAAACAAGTTTTTCTTTATAATAATACAGAAAGGTATGGGTGTGTAGCATAAAGATAATTCACAACTAAATCCCAAATATCTCAACTTGACAAAATGTGGTTTGAAAAAATTTTAATAAGAGATGTGTATATGTGTATATATATGATGTATGTGTGTGTGTCTGTACATAGTGTATTGGCTTGTATGAAATATCTTCCTTTTCAGAAATTTGAAAATAGTCAAATGCTGGCAATCTGTGGCTCTTTGAGTAGGTTTCTGTAGCTCCCAACAGTATTCTTATAGCCAGTGGCTGTGTAATTTGTCAACCATATAGCTGTGCAATAATTTTAAAAAGAGTGTATGTATTCTATGTAAAATATTCATTGTACTTTCTCTAAACAATATATTATTCCATGTATTTTATTTCTGAGTTTTATTTCCTTAAAAATGATCATTTTAACAATATTGCATTTACACTTTCAAAAATAATTTTATTCAATTTTTCAAATAATAATAAATAAAATACAATTGTTGTACTTATTAAATTTGTCAAGTTAACAAATATTGGACTTTCCTTTTCCTTTATAAGTCCAATATTTGTTAACTTGACAAATGTTAAGAAGTACAAAATAAAATACAAATGAATTAATGACTATTGTATAATTAATTCTTTATTAATTAAGGAGTGATTATTTATTGTGACAACATGACAATGCAGGGTTGTAATTCTTAATCTTTAAATTATGTGTAAAATACTGCTTAGATTTAGTCTTGTAGGCTTGATAAAGATGTTTTGAAATTTAAAAACGTTTTAATTAGTGCAGTGGTGCCTTCCAGTGTCATAGTTATATAAGGTTACAGTATATTGGATTGAACCTAAGTTTTTATGTATTTTTAATAGCTGTGGTTATCTTTATTAAATGTGTGCTTTAATATTTCTTTACAAGTGTTATAAATATAACACTTGTAAAATTTATCACATTATTGTTGCTGATATGAGTTTGTGTTCTCAGTTTTAGAACCTTTAATTTAATTTAAAGATCAGTACAGCTGTCTATGCAAAGAAGTGACTTCAGAGCAACGTCACACTTGACGTGCTTCAGTTAAACCAATCAGCACATTCCCTAATGATGTCAGCACTTTTCTCTTAATATGGGAATTTTATTTTATTTTCTCTCACTAGATAACAGAACGACTTTTCCATTAACTGTATTTAATTTTTTTATAGCATGCATTTAACAACTACTGTAGCCAGAGTCCTGGTATTCCAATACTAGAACGTGAAGCTTCCGTAACAATATTTATAATGGCTGCGACACGTTCAGCAAACGAGGAAGAAACAGGAAGTAACTTGACACATCTAAGCGATCAATGGCCGATGCTCATTGGTTAATACCAAGTTGTTAACTTGTATTGACGTACTTTTTTTAAATGCGCATGACCGTGCGCATGCTCAAAGATAAAACGTGACGAACAAAGACCGTTTAGAAAAGTTTTAAATACGTGGATAGTCACGAGGATAGTCACGTGAAGTTTACGCAATTCGTCTGAGATCGATGGAGTAAACTTACAATTGACTTTTTTGTGTAATTTTCTTTAAAAATGAATGCGAATCAGTCGACACCGGGGTCATCGGAATGCAGACAGTCTTCCGTGGAAGATTCCTCTACCAGATCCGGAAGCACGTCTAATTCTCAGAATTTTAGCAACGCAGAAACAAATGTGTCTTCCATTAATAATTCGCCACGTAAGATTAAGACAGAAAGTTCCCAGAGTGCTATTATATGCGAAACTTCGAGAGATTCTTGCGAAGAAAAAGGCTCATTTGAATCTCAGAGTTGTGGAACTTCATCGGAAAAATCGACCGAACCATTAAGCAAACAGTCTGAAGGTGAGTTACTTAATGAGGTAAGTAAGCGAACTGAAGACGAAGACAATAACACACAAGATGAGAATGAGTCTCCTGTTGATAAACTTCCACCAAAAAAGAAGAGAAGACGTAACGGAAGAAAGCTGGACTTTTATAATCATAGAAAAAAACAAAGACTTATTAAGCAAAAGCAGCGTGCCAATCCGGTGTATAGATTAAAAGAGCGACAAAACGATACGGAAAGACGTAGAAAACTTAGAAAAGATCCCGTGTATAAATCGCGGGAACGGGCAGCTGATACGGAACGAAGACGTCGAGTTCGAAAAATTGCCGAGGTAAAATTACGTGAACAAGCGGCTGATGCCGAACGAAAGCGTCAAGCTCGAAAAATTCCTGAGGTAAGATTACGGGAACGAGCGGCTGATATCGAACGTAAACGTAAAGCTCGTCAAAATCGTGACGCAATATTACGGGAACAGGCAGCTGATACCTTGAGAAAACATGTAGCTCAAGAGAATTTTAACATAACACAGGAGCAGGCAGCTGATACCGGACGTAAACGTAAAATTCGTAAAGATCAGAAGGAACAGGTCGGCCGAAAACGTAAAGCTAGAAAAGTTCGAAAAGATTATCTTCTTAACTTACAGGAACAGGCCGAACGAAGACGTAACGCTGTTGAGAAGATTAGGAAATGGAAATCTCTCCTTAATCTCAAATTTTGGACCACCAGGATACGCAGTATGATGACGTCATGACATTCCACATATGCCTAATAATAATATATAACGTGAAAATACGAAAGATTTAAGCAATATGTACAGCTTTTTTTTTGTTTCATTCTTTCGCTTTATGTTTAAGATGGGTAATTATATGGTTTCTTACCATTACGTATTTTCTTTTTAATTTGATTTTTAAAAGACACGTATTTGATAGACATTTCCAAAACATAGAATTATCAAGTACCGACCCATATAAAAAACGCTGTAAACAAAAAACCATAGGGCTATTTACCGACTCTGCACCGTTCGCGCCGCCATTGCTTAAGCTTGTTTTCGTTGTGGAGTATCACGTTGCGTAGGTGTCACGTGACATGACATTTACTGATAACTTCGGACTCCGAAGAGACCGTGGACCTGTCATTTGTTACGTTTCCGGTAATACCGTAACAATTACAAAACCCACTTATTTTTCAGGTTAACTCCGCAAAAGATAGAACAAATATTATCTGTATAGTAGCCATTACTTTTCTAAAGAAGACATTTTTAGAAGAAGTATTAAATTTTTGGTAAATGTTTTCATTACGGGAATGCGCTATTTTTTTTCTTTATTTTATTTTTAAAATAAGGTATACTTAATAGACGTTTGCAAAACATAATTTTTTTCCGGGCGATCCGCAAATAAAGAAAAAATCATAGGACTACTTATCGATTGTGCCGCGTTTCAGACGCCATTGCTTAAGCTTGTGGTGGACGTGCAGCGTGTCATGTGGCCTCGCTTCGACGTCATTCGGTCGCGGTATTACACCGCGTTCCGGACAAATTATTATTGCGGAAGAATTCGTTCTTTTGAGGGCAGGCATCATGTGATAGCAACGTCGTCTTTATTCCTAACAAGTTTACCTGTTTTGTAATTCCGAACAGCCCGCGCACCACAGCCTTAGTTAAGATTTGACGACATCGATTTATTTTTCGAGATTAACTCCGTAAAAATCTCTTATCTAAATTTATAAATATATATTTTATATAATTAATCCGTTTATTTATAAATTTATATTTACAAGCATTTAATCTGATTTTTAAAGTAATTCGATTATTTATTTTATTTGTTCTGATTTTTCTCGAAAAATAAATCGTCGTCGTCAAATCTTAACTAAAGCAAAGTTTATCAAACTGGTCCGCGGGCTGTTCGGAGTTACAAAAGAAATAATCACTTGTTAGTGCAACGACGTCTTATTCCTATCACGTGATGCCTGTAAGGTATAGTGCAAAAGAACGAATTCTTCCGCAATAATAATTTGTCTAGAACGCGTTAGATGTGTAATCACGTGATCAAATGACGTCGAAGCGAGGCCAGTGACACGCTTTGTGTGCATCCGCCGTCCCCGACAAGCTTGAGCAATAGCGTCTGAAACGGTGCATAGCGATAAATAGCACTTTATATGCGAGTCGCCCGGAAAAAATATGTGCATAAAGAATTCTAAATGTTTTTAACGTCAAATGGGATTAAACATCAGAAAACTATATCGTACACACTAGAGCAAAAAGGTGTATCGGAATCTTTGTAGAGAGAGAGCTACGTGCATGTTACAAACAGCCAATCTAAACAAAATTTTTTGGGCTGAAGCAGTATTTATTGCAATATATTTAAAAAACTTGAGCTCTACGAGTCTACAGCAGTGTCTAACAAAGATTCGCTTAGCGGAAAAATTCTAAACATAAATTACTTAAGAATATTTGGTTGTGAAGCATTTCCACAAATCTCCAAAGAGAAGCGAAAAAATTTGATTGTAGATAAAGAAATTGTATATTTGTTGATTATGAACAAAACATAAAGGGATGCCGATTATTCAATATAATGTCAAAAATAATAATTCTACAGAGAAATGTAGAGTTCATGGAAGATAATTCGTCACATGTATAAAAGGTGAATCAACACTAGATAAAAATGAAAAGACCATAAGGAAAGAACACAAGACAATGAAAGTGAAATTTCCGGCTTTTATGAAGCTTGTCTTGTTGCTGTGGGATATTCACAAAAACTAATGTTGACTACACAGACACAATTTGTCTTCTGGTTAAATATTAAACTATCATTAGAATTAGATTTAGAATTATTATGCAATGGATGCTGTGACTGCATTCCTAAACCCTAAAATAGAATAACAACTTTATTTTAAAAAATATCATTCCCAGAATCAGCTGAAACACCAAAATTTGCTGTACTAAATAAAGCAATTTATGGTTTAAAATAGTCGGGTAAAGGTCTGGAGTAAACTCTTACATAACAAGTTAATAAAACTTGGCTTAAATCGGTCCTTAACAGATCCTTGTGTACATTATATAAATGTACCTGATCTATTTATTTTAGTATTATATGTGTGTTTAGATAATTTAATACTTTTATGCAATAATTAAGTTCAAAAATGAATTATCTAATGTTTTTAAAATGAAAGGTGAAGCCTCGCAATGCCTTGGAATAAGAATAACTTGGAACAGAAAACAGGGAACCATCAGACCCAACACACAAAGAATTTTAGAAAGATTTGGTACGTCAAATTGCAATCCTTGCAAAACTCCAATGATGGTTGGAGAAAAATTAATTAAAGGACATACTGATGAACAAATTAATATCCCTTATCAACAAGTAGTATAGATGCATCTCAAAGGAACAAGACCAGATATATATAGTAATACTGCACATACTCGTATAGCATATACAATAAGTGTAATGAGCAAATTTAATAATTGTCATAATAAAATCTCACTGGAACAAAGTAAAAAGAATTATGAGGTATTTAAAAGAAATTATTAATTTGGGTTTAATGTTACAGGAAAGCTAAATATGCAAGGATATATGGTGCTGACTGAGGAATGACGAAAACAAAATCATAGTAAAAGATGCCATAAGTTGGAGCTGTAAAAAACAGCAAAAAGTAACACTATCCACAACTGGAGCAGAGTATACTGTATATCTGCTGTATATCAATAGTACATGCAACGAAATTATGGTTAAAACAACTCACGAAAATAAAAATGGAAACTTTGATCAAGAAGCCATCAAAATAAAATGTGACAACAGAGGAACTATAGAACTTACAAAAATTCAATAAACAGATCAAAAAGAAGTTTCTAAAGCAGCCTTTACAGTTATTAAACTTACTGAGCGAGTTAGAAAAAAATAACTTTGATCTTCATTTGAAGTTATATCTAACAAGAATATTTTATGACATAATATCAAGATTTAAATCGTGATGGTAAGGATTATCGTAATGATTAAATTGTAAGGAGCAGCAGCAGGAACAGGTAAAAATGTTTTAATTAAATGCATAAACTATGCTGTAACTTCTCTTTTAGATCAAATAATAGAGTTCTGACTTAGCAAGTCTTTTAAGTAGTACCTACTGGATTGATTGCCTTCAATATCGAAGGCATAACTATTCGTTCAGTATTTTCTATACCCACAGGTAAGCGGAAAAGAGCATCAGAAGATATCGGTCAATCTAAAATCAATACAATTAGGGCACAGTTTAGAGACTTAAAACTTTTAATAATTGATGAGATATCAATGGTTTCTGATAGAATTTTTCAAGCTATAGATTTTAGACTTAAGCAGATTTTTGAAAACGAGTTATTATTTGGAGGTATATCTATAATTTTACTTGGGAGACTTATCAGCTTAAACCGGTTGGAGGAAGATTTGTGATTCTAACAAATAATAGAGACAGTGGTAACAAAAGATGATGAAGATAAAAATCTAGTTAATATATATAAATCTTTCGATTATACAGAACTTACAGTATAATGAGGCCGACCGACCTAGAAGTTGTCCGAGCACTCAACCTGCTAGGAAGAGGTCTTTTAGAAGAAAATTCTCTAGAATATGAACTACTTAATGACAGAGTCATAAATTTTTATCCTTATTACGATAGAATTCATTTATTTTTAAGATCATCTCAAGCAACAAATATAAAACAGATTTCAATACTAATGCAATTACTAACTCGCCAGGAGAATTTATGAGAGTTCGCCATTGATAAGTATAATTTAAATAAATTGAGCGAAAGAGAGACACTTAAGATAAATATAACCCAATTTTCAGTCGTTCCTTTTACTGCTGTACTATTCATAAAAAGTTCAGGGTCAAAGTGTGCGATGTGAAGCAGTTCATGATGAACATAAGCAAAGCTTACAAGAGTTTACGTCACTTTTAGTAGAGTTTCTTCACGTGAAAATTTAGTAATAATAAATCTTCCTTTTATTCCACCAGAAAGCTCACCACCTTTTAAATGAAGTCAAACGTCAGATAAATAGACTTCGTAATAAAGAAATCGAGTATATGGAGGTTAGAACATGCAACAGATTATAGTAAAGGATACACAATAATGTATGCGGATATTTTTAAGAGAAGCACTCTTAAAAATAAACTATAATTAATTACTCTATTTGTATGCCAGCGTAATAATCATTGCGGAAACATGGTTAAAAAGGAAAGATATACATGTAATTCGTAACGAACTAGATGTTCCAGGTTTTGTGAAAAGTACATCAATATCAAAATTAGAAGGCAAAGGTGGAGCCTCTAATTATGTCTCAAAAAGCATAAAACATAAAGCGCCTAAGTATAGGTTGTTTCACTTTGAACTTTGTTCGGTTGACAACATTCAAGTGTTTGGATTTTATCGATCTCCAACATTTGATAAAGTTCTTGAGAGAATTAGAAGTGGCGTGAAATCGAGCAGGGGGGAAAGAAAATATGTACTTATGGATTAATTAATTGAATTAAGTTAAAAATAGAGAAGAATTTGAAAAAGGAAGCTTAATTTAATTCCAAATAACATTATACAAGATTTATTCAAAGATCATCTCAAATAGATATTGCATTTAGTGATTGTGAAAATATGTTTTAATTTATACGAAACATTTTTCAGTGATCACATTCCATTTTGGAAAAGAAAGCCAATTATAATTGAAAAAAATTATTCGAAACTACTATAACTGATAATGATGACACTTCAAAATATCCGATGCCAATATATTTTCAGATTTTGTATAGAAAGTATTAAAAGTTCCATACGAATCTAGAGGGGGAAAAACGAAAATATCATCTAATATAAATAACTATGAAATTGAAAATTTTAATGCCCAGCTCTTAGAAATGATTAGAAGAAATGGTACTGTATTTTCGCGGATTGTCCGGCATGTCGGTCTATTCGGGGAGACCATGAAATCAGATATTTCCGTATGGTAAAAACCAGCATGCCGGTTTAAGTGAAGTTTACATCCATCTCTAAAGGGTGCGTTAATTAACGAAACGAATAAATTTTTATTCTAAACCTGTGAAACTGTCAGCATTATGTCAAAAACTACGATTATATGTATAATTTCTTCATTTTTGTCTTCTTTCTAACGATGTAAAATACTTGTGGTCGAAAGTGCTTTTTTATGTTATTGTAATCTGATTCAAAAGCGCAAAAATAAACATATTAGATTTCAGAAACTTGTAAATTATCTCAACTTACACGATTAACAAC